CAGCGTCCAGAGTCGTCAGAGTCCAGAATCAGCCGAGAGCAGCAGTCACCAGCGAAAAAAAGCTAAAAAATATAACCATACCACAGCTAAAAAAGCGAACATTGCTAAACTGTTTAATGTGGAATAGTTGCGAGCACTCGCCGGAGCTCGAACTTGTGGCAATCAATCAATTAGGTGCAACGGGGTGGCGCCGCCCCGCTGGTCTCGACAGCGCCATCATCAGGAACAGCAGTAGCAGCAGCAGCAGCAGCGGCGGCGACAGCATAAGCAGCAGAGAGTGTGACAGCAGTTCAGCAGTTAAAAATCAATATCCGTCTAAAGTTTATTTCGGTTTCGGGCAACTCTGAAACTTAAAGTTGTCAACGAGCCAGCAGAAATATTCTCAACCAACAAACAATACTTAAATTAATTATAGTTTTTGCCAATTGCTTTATGCCAATCGCGTCCGCTTTGAGTGCTGAAAATATAACAATATAGTAATCCAGATAAAGTGTCCAGAAGTCCATTTTTTGTGCATAGATATTAAAATAGAATAAATTAAAAACCCAAGAGACAAAGAGAGAGAATAAAAGCTTTAAAACCAGAACGAGACAGCAAATAGCAACTGGTTCCATCCAAAGGAAATGTGAAGATTAAACCATAATAATACCGAGCAAAACTGAAGTGAAAATACCAAATATCCAGCAAAAATACTACAGGTATACCAGATAAAGCAAAAGGTGAGTAAAACAGCGAGAAACAGAGTGGTAAAGATAGGGGGTGGGGTGGGGAGAAAGTGTCGTAGGTCAGGGCAATGGCTGACTGCATTTCATGATCAGACAGCAGGCATCTCTCTGCCCCGCTGTGCTCTGCTCTGCTCTGATATGCTGGGCATGACATGCGGTAGGGGGGAGGGTGGCGGCATAACTTTGCATGTTGCATCCCAGCACACAGCCGCAGCAGCTGCAGCAGCAGCAGCAGGAGGGACCAAGATGCCAAGATGTGCGGCATGCCTCAACTTCAAAATTCCAACGGTTGGTTGGTTCGCTCAGCTGAGCGTTACACAAGCACACACATTCCCCCCACCCACACATGCAAACGAGCACGAACAGGCAGCAAGAGTCAGCTGTTTTTAGTGGGTGCCAGACGGGAGGGTGGCACGAGCACGCGACACTCAGTCGAGCCGAAGCCCGAAGCTCGTACCCGAATAGCCGGCACCCAAACAGCGGCAAAATCAATATTTCCACGGCTCCATGGCAGCTGTTCGCGCCTCTGCGACGCTCTTTTTATTGTTGTTGCTCTTTCTCGTGCGGTTGCGGTAGACCAAATCAGATGGTAGGAGGGAGGGGGTCTTCCAGTGGGAGGGAGTCCATGTAGGCCCATTCCATAGATCGGTTGTGGGAGCAACTAAAGAACTCTTCTGTGGGCACCACCGGTCAAGGAGTACATGGCATGTACGAATCAATTCGAATCTTAATTTGATGCCATCTGGAAGTCAGGCAGATGCCCAGTCACCGATCCTCGCTCGCATACCGTTTCCTCCTAACGGTTACTGGAAATTGCGTAATTTCATTAGCTCCTTCCAGGCCTGCGCCGCATTCCCGACAGTCGGCTTTCCCGACACTGTCGACTGTCCACTGTCGCTGCGCTGCCAGACAGTCTGCCGGTCTGCCAGTCTGGGTCTGCCTTCAGTTGTTGTTCCCCGAGTGTCTTGTGCAGGTTGCAGTGGTACCAGCTTGAGAGAGAGCCGTTCCTTTAGCCGGCACAAACCGCCTGAGACTACGTGAATTCTGAACAAGTAAGCAGAAGGGCTGCTCTTACAAAATGGGATCTCTTGATACGGAAAATCGACAATTGTTGAAGGATGAGTCTGGGGCAGGGCCACTGAGCTGGAGCCGGGCTGGCCGGGACGGGACCAATGCCGGTGCCAATGCCGGGTACCGGTACCGAAACGAATCGGCCCCCCAAAAACGAGGCGAAATCGGAACGAACCGAACGGAATGGCATAACCGTTAGCTGGAAGCGGCGAATCAGCATTCGGCCGCCCCGAGTCGGCCAACAACAACAAACAGCTGCAGCGAGGGGACGAAGACAACGACAACGACAACGACAACGACGACGAGCCTTCCTCTCGGCCCACAGCTGTGCAAGGAGGCGGGCGGCGCAGGGCTGGGCTGGCATCGCTGCGCCAGCCAGCCCCAGCTGGAAATTCCAATAACAGCAGCAGCTGAAAACTGGAGTTACCGACTGACGGACGCCGCTGTCGCAGTCGATGGCGCTGCCGCTGTGGCTGTTGGTGTTGCTGTTGCTAGCGTCGTCGTCGTCGTCGTCGTCGTCGTCGTCGTGGCCGTCGCTTCGTGGTGCCACTTGCCTCGTCCGGATAATCAGTCGTCGTCGAGCTTTCAAAACGTTTGCAGCAAACGGGAGAACACACGCCAGGGATCGAAATCCAACCAAGAGCAGCCAAAAAGCAGGAGACCCAGAGATACCAAAAGATAGAGAGAGATAGAACGAGCGAGAGATAGAGAAAGAGCCAAATGTAAATCTTAAGACGGTGTGGACAGAGAAGGAAGTTGCAATTAACTATACGTTTTTTTTCAAGTGCTCCTTTTTTTACTGTGGCTTCTTTTTTTGCGATGATATCATATAACGTGCTGCAAGAACTGGTGCACACTCCACCACAACACTCCACCACTCCACTCTCCACTCCCCGGCACTCCCCCACCAGCACGTGCTTTGCTTTCCACAATGTCTGTATGTGTGTGACCTATTGATTCTACAACTTCCTTTGGCGATGGTGCAACTTCGGCTTCCGCTGCAAGAACTCGCATTTCCCTCCCCCTCCCCCAACCCCAACCCCAACCACACACGTCCCACTCCCACAGTCGATCGATAGGTACTTTGGACTGTCTGTCCACTGATCCACTGTCCACAACAGATCAAAGCTGCAGACAGATCTCCCCCGGAACCCTCCTCCTCTGGACGGACTTATGTGCGTCCCGAAATAGCAGGAGAGAAAACTCATCCATCATGCACGGCCGCCGGCAAACGGCAGGGCGGACGAAGGGGGTACAGGGAATGTCCTACCAAATGCAGGCCGGCAACTCCGCGGCCGTTTTCTGGTGAATCATTCGGAGTAGCGGCAGCACTGGAGCGAGACATGGGACCCCCCACCCCGGCCTGGGGCACGCGACCGACTGCAGGCCGGGTAAAGGGGGAGACACACAAGTTGAAGGATTACAACAGCAGCAAGGGCGACAGAAATATCAAAAGGAGTTATTCAGCTCGCCTCCTCCGCCGCCACCAGGGCCTCCCCCTCCCTCGGCCCATCGTGGCTTTTTATAGTTTTCGCATGCACCCGGCAATAAGGGAGGACGGAGAGTGGGCTGGAGGGGAGGGATTGGTGTGGCAGGCTGATGACGTCGCCTGCCACGTCGTGGTTGTCGCCGTTGTCGTTGCCATGGAGCGCGTCCAAGCGATGACGACATCTTTTTGGGGCGTGTGTCTGTCCACCCAGGGATTCGCTGATTTTACCCCGTGTCCCATGCCCCTTGATGATGCATATGTGCGCTGGTCTATATCTGCAAGACGGACAAAGTTCAATGCATTTTATATTTGCAGAGCCGAGGCGGACGCCTCCTGTCTGTGGCTCGTCTTTTTATAGCCACTCCTCCGGCGGCCCTGCCTCGCCCGACTCCTGGGCTGTGGCAGTGTCTGTGTCTGTGTCTGTGCCTGGTCTATGTGGCAGCTAGCTCCGCTGGGAGACCGAATGTTGGGGCACAGATGGAGAGAGCACGGAGTGGAGATGACAGTCATATTTCGATGGGCATTACGCAACGGAAGAGGGAAAATCAGACGAGGAACTATCAGACGGTGAAAGAAGGAGGATTTCATTAGAACAGAAATAGGAGTATTTCTGTTGCAACTTTTTTCCACGTTCAGAATCTGTAGAATAAGAGGAATCCAAAATATATTTCCATCCAACTTTCGAACCATTTCCACTATTCACTTGCCAGCTACTTGGAGAGATTTTGTTCAGGAGCTCATAAAGGGGTATTCCTGGAGAATAGTTTACTGTGTGGAAAGTAGTGTAAAACAAAATGAATAAAAAGACAGAGCGACTAAGAGACAGACAAATAGACAGACCATCGACCACCGCTATATCCTTACGATCTATAACGATCTCCTCTTCCTTTGCAGATCCGACGATAGATGGAAATAGTGTCGCCGTGCAAACGCGGAGAGAGCTAAAAGCGAACAGTCCAACTGAGAATTACTATAGCCCAAGAGCTATAGCCGAGAGAAGAAACGAGATCGGCTCGGATCGCTCCTTGATTCATTTCAGACAAAAACGAGAGAAAAGCCCCAAAGTGAGAAAAACCAAAAATCGAATTTTCATGTTTCAAACACAAAAACCAAACACAAAACCAAAATTATTATTGATAAACTATTACGAATAAAAGCAAAAAGAAAAACCAAAGGTAAAGTAAAAATTGCTAAAAGTAAAAAAAAACGCTACTCCAAATCTTCACTAAATATACGATATATATATATATACGATACGTATAATACGTATGTACGTATAATATATATATGCATATGTTTAACTAATAAAATATACTTCAGAGAACACGCCAATTGCCGCAAAAAACAACCAAACCAACAAAAACTTACTCCAAAAGAAAAAGCAAAGCAAAAAATTAATAAAAACCAAAGAGATTTTCATTCAACAAAAACACTGACCACAGCTTCAAGAAGTGTGCACAATAATAGCAACAAAAGAAAAATACAAGAAAAACCAAAAGACTAGCCAAAACCAATTCCAGAGATATTAACAAAACAAAAAAAAAAACAAAACAAAAACCAAACCAAACGACACGAAACGAAAACCAATTAAGCGAACAATTCTCTAGTTTTCTCGGAGGAAAAAGCAAAGGAAAGACTGCGCCAAAAGTCACGGCCAGCAAACAACTAAAAGTACAACAACAAAAAACGAAAACACAAACAAAACCAAAACCAAAAGGAAGGAGAAAGAAGAGAAGAAGCAGCAGCGGCAGCAGCAGCAGCAGAAGAACAACAACCATCCGGCAGAAGCTGAAGCAGAAGCAGAAGCAGAAGACAGCGTCACGCACCAAAACTCGCCCCTCAGTTGCAGTCGCAGTCGCAGTCCGCAGCGAACGGTTTTCCGCAATATTTCCAAGAAATTTTGCGAGTGTTTAATAAAGACAGAGACAGAGCAACATCTAGAGAGCGAGTAGTGGAAGTGCCAGTGCGATAGGGAAAGAGTGCGAGGGAGCACACAATATTGTTAATCGGTTAACCATTGTATTTTTTTCTAAGTGTAAAAAGTTTTTTTGCCTGTGTGACAAACAAAAAAGCAAAGACAAATCCAACAAACAATAACCAACAACCAACAACATCTGTGATGGGAGATCAGCCAAAGGCGACAACAACAACCACCAGTGGGGGGGCGGCTGCAGGAGGATCAGCAGCGGGATCAGTAGCGACTGAGGGCGACACCGTGATGGCCGCCGCGACCCAAGAAGCCGTGGGCAGTGCCATTGCCATGGCCAATGGAAACGGCAACGGCAACGCCAACGCCAACGGACCGGAGCATCCACCGCCGGAGTCGCAGGAGCCAGGTGGTGTCGAGGGACAGGTGGACAACGAGGTCGGTGGTGGCACTGATGTCGGTGACGATGCGGCCACCGATGCCGGGGCAAGCTCTCTGCCACCGTCGGAGATCGGTGGTCGGGCACCGCTGGATACTGCCGGCTCGGACGGCGGCGGTGTAGCCTCCAGCCTGGCCGGTGGCATGGTTGGTCCGCCCAGCCCCCTGACAGGATGCTATCTGCTGATCGTGCTCGGGGAGCCGCATTCCGAGGAGCACAAGGACAACATCTTGCAGCATCTGTTGAAGGGTGAGTACGCCACTAGAAAGTAGAAAGTACACATGTATATATGCACATACATATGTAGATTCCGTACCTTCCACTGAAATCTTAAGTAGAAAGTCTGGCGTATGCAAATGAGCCGCATGCTGGAATGATGTGTGCAGCGTCATGCCTCGGCAATTGGCTTCGCGTGCCCCGTCCAGCCTTCAGCATCAGCATCATCTTCAGCTTCATCTTCATCATAGTGTTCATTCCATTCCAATCGAAACCCCACCTCAATCCACCCACTCCCACTCGTTTTCACACTTTGATGATTCCGCCATCCAATTAGCTGGAAAGGCCGAGAGCGGGAGAGCATTGAGAGTGGGTTTCATATTCATATTCATTTTCATACGAGTATTCATTCACTTTTCTTCCATCTAGTTCTTCTACTACATATGTGAGCTTGTCTGACACACTTTCTTGAGATATTCTGTTCTTCTGGAGCCTCTGCATCCGATGGCATGCCCATGGCTTTGCCTTCGCAAAGAGCAGTGGGAGTGTCCCACTCAATAATTACCTTGCAGCATGGGCTAATCGAATTCCCAGGATGATGGCAGCTCTTCTGGGCAGGGCCTGCCATGTCCTGCCATGAACTGTGGGAGAATGGCGCTGGCAATTCGATTTGAGGAAATTGCGCATAAAAGTATGCAGTGGGATGCACTGCACCCGTCTGCCCGTTTAATTAAAATTGGAAAACACACACACACAGAGGTACACTTGCTTGCCCCACGTGGCACACACAGATCCAGAGAGAAAGAGAGAGAGAGAGAGAGAGAGACACACAGCACAAACACTCGCGGATTGTTTACTTTTAATTGTATTAATTATTTTCATGTTGATTGCATTACAAACAGCAACAGAAAACAGAGAAAAAAAACAGCAAAGACAACAAAGAGTCGTGAAAAGGGCAATTGGGTCAAACGGCAAGGGGTATTAAGGCAGAAGGTGAGGCTGCTGCAGTTCTGCGAACTCCGAGCGGAGAACCCTCTGTTCGGAAGGCCTCTGTTCCAAACTTTATGCGCGAGTGTGGCTGTGCCTTACCTTCACAGAAAAACATACCTTGCCACAGAGCGTGCAACCAAAAAGAGAGCCTGAGATCACTCACGTTGCTCGACTCATCCGTAACATCCGTATCGTATCAATAGAATCCTTTACTGCCAAGCTGCTCCGAGAGAGAAAGAGCGAGAGAGAGGGTGCCAGTCAGGGCCTAGCCTCACCTTTCATGCGAAACATACCTTGCAACAGAGTGTACACAAAGAGAGGAACCGAGTGATAGCGATGCTCGTCGACTCATCCTGTTATTGCACAGATTATTAACAAATATTTGATTTATGCAGGCGACAAACCAGAATGTAAGCAAAGGACTTTAGAGAGAGTCTGCGGGGAAGAGAGCGGAAGTACAGTCCATTGAGAATTGAGGCGCCGTGGGTGTGGCATAATTGCCGGACACATGAACCCCCAATCGGCAACACCCCCCAGCCCCGATCCCTTTACCCTTTGCCCAATCCCAGGGCGGAAATTGCACAAAACTTGTCCGTGCGGACATGAAAATTAGTCGCCAACCGAGCGGACTCACAAGGGGAAGCGGGGAAAGGGGAAGGGAAAGGGTTAGCAATGGGTCCAACGGAAGAGGCAGAGGTATGGATTACCTGGAGGCTTAGGCGAGAGGTGCAACACAACAAAAAAATAATGTGCAGAAAACACCAAATGCAAAAGCACAGCTTGTGGAAAAATTTGCAATGTTTGCTCCGTGGTTTTCCCCCCTAAAACACACAGAGGCCCAGAGGTCCAAACGGGGTGGGAGGAGCTGAAGCGATGAAGGGGTTACCAACCTCTGCGGCGGCCTCATTTTATAATTGATTTTGAGGAAAAAGCGCTCAAATTTGTGGTGGTGGCGGTGGCTGTTCAAACGGAAACCGAAAAACAAACTAACCAGGAAATTGGTAGTGACAGACCAGTGGGGTGCAGACAGGGAGACGCTAGAGGGAACAGGGGACTGGAGAAGGGAAATCATTGTGCTCCAATTATCCCTGAATCCCCATTAAATCCTTAGCCCTCTGGTGGCAACTGTAGAAGGATCTTTTGATCAGGGCTTCATACGGTATAAATAGAAAACGAGAAATGCGTGAAATAAGTACTATTTATTGGACAACATGTGTCTCCAATGAAATTCCAAATAGAGTTTTCTCCCACGGAGTAGCTTAGTAGTTTAGGATGTATTTTCATTAATGATGGAAGTGATAATTGCAGAATCCATATAGAAATACATCTCCGGAGTACCTTTTTGTGACTGGCGATGGTGTCGTCTTTCTTCTAATCACGCCCTCCTTTATCTCTCACTCTTTGTGGTAGCACTTCCTTCCTTCTCTCGCTCTCCCGCTGTGGTAGCACTGTGGTTGGTGTCGCTTTGCATTTGCAGTGTTGCAAGTGCCTCCTGTGGACCACTTGAGCCGCGGCACTTGATGCCACTTTACTGAAGTTCTGGCGGGGGGTTGTGGGAGGAGGCTCACGTGATTATAATAATTGCGTTGCTGTTTTTTTGCAGCCAGCTCTTTGTCTTCTTTCACGTCTCTCCCATCCGCTCTCTCTCCCTCTCTCTCTCTCTTTCATTAATTTTTTGGCTTTCTTTTTTAATTAACTTAGGAAGAAATCAATAAAAAAAATAAAGCGCGTCATTCAAGGTCAGGTCGTGGAGGGGAGGGAAATCACATAACATTATTATGACAAATGTTGTCAAAAGAGAGAAGCGGAAACAGGGCTGGATGGGCTGGAGGGGTAGGCAACGGGCGTGGCCACTTGTGTTGAGGCCCAAAAATCGATCAAATAAGAGGCACAAAGAGACAGAGAGAGGGAACTATAGAGAGAGAGAGGAAGTAGCTTGAAGGGGAGATACGATAGAAAAGTGGAGCGTGACGGGCTTCGATTTTGTACATATTTTTAGATAGTTACCCAGAAAGAGGAAGGGTGGAAGAAAAAGGGAAGGAAAGGGAAGATAAAGACGAAAAAGAAAAGCGAAGGGGCATAGTTTTGAAGGTGGAGAGAAGAGGAAGAGCGGACTCCAACAGTTGACGCGTGATTGCATGACAATGTGTGTGGGATACGACAGCTGAACAGGACACATAGGATGCCACAAAACGACAGGACGCTGTACTGCACTGGATCCCTCGCCGCGCGTAAAACGTGGGACACACTACGTGACCACTCCCCAGATCTCAGCCCCTGGCCCTGTGTCTAGCTCTGGCTCTGGCCCAAAGCTCGACACGTTCACTCGGACAACAAAGTCGCGTTGACAGTTGCAATGACAGCAGTTTTAGCAGCAGCAAACCCCACCCCCAAAACCCGGTGCATCCAGAGGGTGGAAGAGAACACTGAACCCCAGTAAATCTAGTGGCATGAGGAGTGAAGGATTATGGGGGCTGGAAGCATGAGGAGCACTGGATATGTGAACAGTGGATATGAGGATCATTCTGTGTACAACATGTTAAAGAACCATTTCTATACGTTTCATATGGCGTGCACTCAATCATCGATTTTCGAGCAGAGCGAACATAGATGGTTGGAAGATAGGCTTGAGGATCATGTTTGGGATACATATGGATTGCTGAGCACCTGTTTCATCGCCTTGTACAATGTGGCGTATACGTATTCTCATTGGAATGGGGCTGGATGTTTTTTCTTGCTATAATAATTATCCAATCTGATCTAGATTCGGCAGTCTAGAAGATATGGTCTTTCTGGTATCTTTAAAATTGTGGATGCCACAGTTTTTCGTCCTTTGTGGGGGCGGAACGGGACGAGGCCAAATTTTGAAACAAACTTCAGTGCGATATCCCAATAGTCTGGATACAAAATGTCGTTGCTCTAGCTCTTATAGTCTCTGAGGAAATGGCGCAATCATCTCGGCTATAGATGCTGATCAAGATCAAGAAGCGGAAACGCTTCCTTCTGGGCGTTTTCCCCATTTTCCCCACAAATCGAATATACCCCTATACTCACTAGTGGGTAGCTAACTTTTAAGCTTCTCCGTCAGAGAGACAAAGGGAGTGAGTGCAAGGGCAGGGAAGTCAGCCACTGGAAATTCTTGAAGCACAAACAATGGGAAACATGCTGGCTATGAAAAAAATGGGGGGAAGGTGTCGCAAAGAGTTATATTCCAGCAGATCTTGACGGGCATCTCTTCTCTCCCATCTCTTTTGACCGTTTCCCTTCCCTGGTTTTGGATGCGCATAGAAACCAAGGTGGCGTATACGCAATCATCGATTTGAAATAGAAGCAGCAAACGACCGGTTCTTTCGTTGGCGGTTGGTGGTGGATGGCTAGTTGCGGTGGTTAGCATCCGTGTGCGGGGCTTGCGTCACCAATAAGCACACACACCTACACAGAGAGACATTAAAAATGCTTTTATTGCAAATTAATTGCTTTGAAGTGCACTGCGAGGCAGAGGGTTTGAGGCGCGTTTGAGCCGCCCGCAGACCATGCGACGCACCCGTGGTCAGACCACATGCCACATGCCGCACCCCACAGCCACTCTCTGCCGCACAGACCCTCCACCTGCACTCCTCCCTCATTTTCGGGAGGGGCATGGCTCACGTTACATTGGTTTTCAGTTTAATTAGTTTTCGTCGGGCTTGAGTTTGAGCTTGAGTCCGTGCGTGTCATTAAATTTGCAATTTAGTTTTGCCATTATTCTAATGAGGAAAATGATAGTGACAATGCTACGAAAATGCAAGGAAAATGGGGGAAAATTTCTAATGAGCGAGCAAACCGAGAACGGAATAGGAATAGAAATAGAAACCCGAACCGAAACCAAAAGGAACTCCAAGCGAAAAGATGGTGGTGGAAAACACATCTCTCTGATTGAGTTGACCCATGGCCTTCTTTGAACCGTCGTGAAACCTGAAAGGTTTTGATGCCTAATTAGTTGCGAACTGTTTTTGCCGTCCGATAGCCATTCGCTCTAATTGGCCAACAAAATTCCACCTGGC